CGCGGATTCAGCATTTTTTGATGTTTGAGATACCTAACTTTCATACATGAAGGAAACTCCAAAAATTTATATGTGTATACTTAAATCAAATAAAGATGTTCGCAAAAAATTGCAATGATTGGAGTCTGGGAACAAAAAAGGTCTAAAATTTTAGCTAAACCTGCCCCAAACGTGAGAACAACAAGTTGATAAAATATATTTTCTACTATTCTCAACCAAGTTTATATTCATCGATAAATTTTAAGACTCATACAATAATCTCTTAGCATTCAACGATTATGGCCTAATAAAATTTTCAACCTCCTCAAATTGAGGGAGGTTCAAACTTTTTATGGTCATAGTTTTTGAACGTTAAAAGGTTTTTTAACGTTCCCAGGCTCAAATTATTGCAACTTCCAGACCTGGAACGATCTCCAAAAATATACATTTTTAGAATTTTTTTCTATGTCTGGAGTTAGATATCTCAAACATCAAAAAATGCTACATCCGCGCCTGATATCTATAATATCATATCAACCTGTTTTAAAACCAATTTAAAACCACAAAAGCTGTGACTGTAAAATTAATTTCTAAAGATGGTTCTTAGAATGTTTATGTTAACATATCTGGGATGCCAATTTTTCAGCTTGTTAAAAATTACTTAAAGGTAACTATTAAAAAAAAGCCAAAAGAGGATAAACACCTCAACTTCAACATCAGAATTGAACTCAAAAAATAAATATTTTGTTTAAGAACTTGATAGAAAAATTCATAACTAACAATATTAGAATTGCCATTAATGAAAATTTTAAAAATTGTTTCACTCTTATTACACTCTTATAAAAAATTTATATGCGGAAATATTTATTTCTTCTACATAAAAGACAAGAAAAAACTACGGTAGTACAGATTTGTACACTACTTTTTTATGAGTGATTGATTTTATGCTGTTTAAAAGTTTTTTAAAAAATCAGAAAACTTATTCGAAGGGGCTGTCCATTACGTCAACAATTTTCTGGCCATTTTTACCTCTCCCCCCTCCCTCTTGTCAATAACTTGTCAAACTTTCAGAGTATAAAATTACGTCAACAATTGATTTCCCCCCCCCTCTCCCTTTTTCTTAAGTAAAATAAAAAAATATTTGAAAAAACAAAACATTTTTAAATAGTAGTAATAGTAGTAGTTTACAACTTCAAGAAAAAGTGTTAAAAAGTAAAATGTTAAAAAAAAAAAAATTAATTCAGCTTTTAACTTATGAACATTTAAAAATTATATATAACCATTTAAAAATAAACTTCTTCCAGCGCATAGAAGGAAAAAAAAAAAAATTAAATTCACTCAACTTCTCAATGCAACTAAGGCATAGAACTAACTCGTAAAAAAAAAGCCGATAATTTTAAACAAATCTGATTGGTTGTTAGTGGCAAACCGAACAACTTTTTGATTTATTGGTATTTAATTTATGCAAACAAAGAATTCGTAAATAATGGCAAACGATTTTTTTTTTAAATTTGTTATTTGATGCCCCAAGAAGACCTAACGGTCTTTTCACAAAGCACCTCGGAAGTGCATTTAACCAGGAAGTTTACGCCTCCTTTCTTACCGTGACGCGAAATATGTCCAAAACTCGTTTCGAACCTGGATCTCCTGCTTATAAAGCAAGCGCTCTAACCACTGCGCCACGGCCGCACGACCACAAACTATTATAAACAATGGAAGGGTCTGTTATACCGTAAACCGGGGGAACTTTGGCCAGCGGGGTAACTTTGACCATTTAAAAAAATTTAAATTAAACATCTGTAACTTTTAAACAGTAAAGTAACGTTTTACTATTTTAAATTGTAAAACGTTACTTAACTGTTTAAAAGTTACAGATTTAATCTAAATCTGTAACTTTTTGTTTAATTAAAATTTTTAAAAATGGCCAAAGTTACCTCGGTTTACGGTAACAGTTTTGCATGAAATATATCAATATATTTATAAAGATAACTTGAAGTGTTTGTTTGACATAGTTTATGAACCTAGTTACAATTTAATACATTTGTGTTAGTATATTTAAAAAAAAATATGCTACTTTTAAAAGCAGTTGAAGTGAATTATGTAATATACATTTAGCGCTGTGCTAACAACAAAAAGTATTTATCTTAATACATTACTGAAGCCAGTGCCGCCGAGAGGGGGGGGGGGGGGGTCGCGAGGGACAGTTTGTCCTGGGCGGCAGATATCGAAGGGGCGCCAAATGAAATGTAGGTACCTAAAATAAAAATAAAAACTTCATATATAATATAGGTAAAATTTGATAAAGAAAAGGGCGCCAAACAAGATTGCTGACCCAGGCGGCGTGACAGCTCTCGGCGGCTCTGACTGAAGCCATATTTACTATTTATATGACTTAGAGTTCAAAGATATAATTGTTTTTATAACAATAAGTTAAAAGTTACTTTTAAATTATTGCTATAAAAATAAAAGAAACCAAATGTCAATTAAAGTTAATTAAAACTGATATAAAAAGGAAACGAGTTTGAAAATGAAAGTAATTTATTAGTAAAGTTTACCGCCTCTGTTTTTTAATTGTTTACGCATTCTGAATGGAATAAATTATTTTTTCAAGATAGCCGAGTATTTCAAAAAATTATTCTAAATACCGCAAACAGTTTTTTGAATGGGGCTAAAAGTTATGATTATTTATGCAAAAACACCTTTTGTAGAAAAATTAACACTACCATAGTTTATCTGAATCTAACGTGACATTATTGTCAAACATTCTCATTTAGATGAGCTATTGAAAATAATAACTTCAATTTTCATAAAAAAAATGGTTTTTTATGGATAATTTCCCCAAATAATGTCTGATTATAAATGTCAAGTTACATTCATTGAAAACAAACACCGATAAGTGCTTTTATGAAAAAATCAAATCCATAGACTTATCTATAACCAAGCATCAAGGTACTTTATGTTGAAAATTACATCTTTTCTAAATAAAACTACGCTTGATGATTTGTTATAGCCGCATTACTTATACCAGATTATAATAGTGGTTAAAAAATTCATTACATACATACCAAATAAGTCATTCTTTTTGACGAAAAAACGTACATATATTTTAAATGAAAAAACTTATAATTTTGTTCGAAAAAACGTGTACCATGCAGTGGCGGATTAAGTCTTCTTGGGGCTCGGGGTTATTTTTGTTTTTGGAGGCCTGTTTATCGGCCAGAGCCAAAAATAACTAAAAAAAAAAGGTCCTCTAAAACTTTTTAGGGCCCCTAAATTTGCGGAGCCCGGGGCCATAGCCCCTAGCTACCCCTTTGATCCGGCACTGTTACCATGCCTTAGTTGCATTGAGTTATAGAAGAACTGCAAGTCGATATTATATCAATAATAAAAAAGTCGTTACAGTTATGGAATTTAAAAGAACAAAGAGAAACATTAAATCTTTGATGGAGGAGAGTATTCTTTGATGTTTTCCGAATTACTTTATTATCCGAATTACGTTATTCCGAATTACTTTATTATTTCCGAATTACTTTATAATTAATTTATTGTAAAAAAATCGTAACTATTGAAATTTTTGATAAGCACTTCAAGATCTTCTTTCACAAAACAAGTTTATATTTTTAATTTGTTATATTTTTTACGATTAATATTTAAAAAATATATATCAATTAATCTGTAACTTATGAAATACATTGAAAGCAAACTAATTCTAATAGAGTCTAGTATAACAAAATAATACATTTGATAACTTGTATAAATAAGGCTTCAGCAATTTTTTAAGACGGAAGAGTCAAAGTTTATAATTCATAAAAACTTTCCAGTTTTTAAAGAGCTACTAATATCTTGTTTTCAATATTATAATAGTATTTGTGCATGGAGCTGGAGAGCCGCATTATAACATTGAAATTTTAACATCAAATGTTTATGCCAGGGGTCGGCAACCTGCTTGCGAGCGGTATAAACATTTAAATAATATAATGTAGACTATGTACTTAGATCAACCTTTATTTCTTTTTATAGCAGGCCAACAAACACAAACTTTGAAAAAATAATAGTGTTACGAGTAAACATCTCGCGTGTGCTCATTTAGTTTAAAAAACACGGTTTAAAAAATGTAGAAATATAGTTAGTGTAATTAAAATACTGAAGGTTGGGTCAATGCGTAACACAAAACTACAAACGCAGCCTAATTTCCTTTTTTTTTTAAGTTTAGTTTAGTTTATTTTAGTGGTCAAAAACTTAAAATATTTACAACAACCCGTAATAAATTTATAGATTTTTGAAAAAATATAAATGTTTGCTATGTTTCAATTATCAACAAAGATGTGCTGCATCAGGCACCTCTATACTAACAGTTGTAAGATACTTGTTAACATCTGCGACACAAGTACCATACTTTAAGAACATAATGGAATACTAGAAACATATGTAAAGAGAGTTTATTTCCAGATATCGTTTAAAAAATCTTTTTTAACTGATTAAATGTTTATCTAGTCGATTTTTAAACATGTTGAAGGAAGTCGCGTCAATTACTAATTGGGGCAGGGTATTCCACTGCAACGCAACACGGTTTATGAAGAATGTCTCTCTTGGCATGCAATTGAATACTCTTTGCGGGGCAACTCTTTGATTAATACCACGCATAGTATACTTTGACGAACAAAGACGATTGAGTGGTACGCGAAAGTTTATTTCATCCAATTCATGCATTAAACCAAAGTAAGTTTAGGTATTTTATAACCCTTAAAAAAAAATATTAAAACTCTCCATAGAGTTATAAATTTTTTATACAAAGGTATATCAAAGACTTTAGATAAACCAAGATTTTTGAAGCAGCAACATTTTTTGTTTCCATTTTAAATCACACAATATTATGACAGCGAGATTTTTTTGTTTTACACATGTTGATAACGAGATTGGGTTGTTAACAGTCATATCGAATGTCTAGTTAAAAATATTTTTTTTTGCGCATTCTATCACATTTTTTATTATTTAGATATATTTGACAGCGCTTCGACCATTCAACGATGTCATTAGTGTTTATTGTAAACTATAGAATTCTTTCAAATGATTTTATTGTTTGTATTAGTTTTTTTTTATCCAATGGATTTTCACAGGTATTTTAATATGATTTGGCATGCAGTTAGTGAACATAAATAAAAGAGTTCCTAGTACGCTATCTTGAGGTAAATGATTTATTGCCAAACAACTACTTTTTTTTGATTGTTAGAAAAAGTTATGATTTTTTTAGAGAGTGTTTTCCTTAAAATTATTAAACAAACTAGAAATTTTCTATTCGAAAAAAAAAGAAAAAGAATTATTACAAAATGGTATCAAAGTTTAATATTTTAGGCAATTGAAATGCAAAAACTTTTATTCATTGACTATTGTGTTAAATTCTTAGTTTGATCAATAAATATTGTAAAAACTATTGCAAAAATGTATTATCACTAAATATTCATTAAAAGTTTAAGAAAAATTAATTTATTTTGATGCTGGCTTGTTTTTTGCAAAATAATTAAATAAGGAAATTTCCATTATCTAAAACAATCCTTGCCTTTTTTTTAAAAAAAAAACTCCCTGTAGCCAAACCAAATAATAGAATGAAAAAGTTACTTGTTTAATTTCCGGTTAGTATGAGATTTTTACTATCAAGCTTTTTTTTATTGCTGTGGATATCTAATTATTTAAAAACTTTAGCATATAAGCTCGCCGAATGGTCACACACGAGAAGTGAATGCTGTGAAGGAAAAATGAAGTACATTAGAATAAAGAAGAGTTTTTTTCGAAGAAAGCATACTTTGCTGTGGTTACCTAATTTTGCATTGCAAGTACCTATTTTTGGTCATTACAATTTTTTTATGCGTGCTATGTATATTTTATATGTATATGTATGATACATTTAAGATGTGTATTAATATAAGGTCTGCACTTCTTATAAAGTAGATATTTTTTTTAATTCGTGAAAATAATAACAACATAACAACTTAACGTGAAAATAATAACAAAAAACTTTAACAGCTTAAGAATATCTTCGGTAGAGGTTTTTTCTTGGTACCAACTATTGCTCAAAGTTAAAAAAAAACAACAGTATCGCTAGAAGAAAAAAGGAAGGCAAAATCAACTGGAGACGACTTCTATTCCATACTGCTTTAAAGATATTATTTAGGACTAATGGCTACCGCCTTCTGATGGCTACCGCCTCCCAAATAGCAGAGGGCTTCAAAACATTCTACCTGCAAGAACAAATTCCGACCGACATCAGTAGGAAGGCCAAAGTCACTAGAAGCAAAAGTCAGAATCACTAAATAATTTTAAGAAGACGGCTGCCAACCACTACCAATGAGAAGTCAAGGAAAGAAAAGTTTGCATTTTACCGGTCACAGTTTACTAGTTTTGCATTTTACCGAGTAAAAAACTGTATTATCTCTGAATTTAATCATTTAAAAAAAATCTTTTTTTTTCAATTACGCAACTCAATTTTTATTGTCGTCATTGTTAAAGTTTATTTACATTTTCACTTAGGGCTCAAATAAATGTTCGATACATCATTTTTGAAACAAATATACATACATCGACTGACACAGAGATAGGCTTCAATAAACGTTCATAGTGTTAGGGTCATGCTTACGGTTCGGGCTTATATCAATTAGGGACTAATAGGTTTGGAATGTCCAAAGTTTGCTTTTTATCAGGGAGAAAAACTAGGCTGTTTAAGATTTTAAGTTTTGAAAAGAGGAGCATGCGTTTGCGTCGCCAAAAAAACACTGTATTGTCCTGAGATAAGGCGCATTATTATTTTTTTTAAAACCCGATTATCTTATTGGATTTTAATACAATACTTTTTTGCGTAAAGATTAAAAAGTTTTGTGCAATATTTGTTAAACTGTTTCAAGTTAAGTAAGTTGATAGAGTTTGACAAACCTGTCAACATAGTAAATTGAAACTTAGTAAGCTTAAGGCGGTTCAACACCAAACAAAAAATAACAATTTTCCAAATAAATAGAACTTTTAAATAAGGATCACTCAAAGAATTTTAATTAAAATAAGTAAAAATCTTTTTTTAAAAATTAGCTTTAATGGTGGAAAAATTATCAAAAAATCCATTTTTTAACGAAATTTAAAACAACGTATCTTAAGTTAACCATCATCATATGACTTAATTTTTTATTCAATTACTATTTTAATCCATGTAACGGTTAGATTTTTTTTTTAAACTAAACGATGAGTTTATGTGTGTCAGATAATAAATTTCAATTTTTTTAAAGATGTTTTATAGAGATCTTTACAAAAAGATGAACATTTGTAGATTATGAACAAATATCCAAAAAAAAAAAAACCTGCACCATATAAACAAAAAATGTATCAAAACACCCTTTGCACCATCATATGTCAAAATAATTGAATATGTTCCCATTTCTAGTGATTACTTGAAAACAAAAACTCATTTTAATACATGATCCAAAATAAACCCATTATATGCTTTGTAAGCATTTTGGTTATCCCATGTAAGCATTTTGATCATCATTTATCCGACTAATGATTGGCAGAATTGAGCATGTCATTGTTTTAATTTAGAGCCTAATACCATAAAATATGGTTGGTACCAAGTACCAACCATATTTTCCGCGAGGACAAAATTGTTCTTGGTGTAGTAGTCAGGTTATTTAGTGGAGTAAAAAATTATGGCATATTCCGCTTTCTTCATTGCATACAAGTTTACCTCTGCCTGATATTGATATTTTAGTATCTTTTTGTTTTGATTCTTTTTCTGCAAATGACCAGAATTAAGATAATGAAACTTTACTCAATATACCTGGTATAGCTAAAAATGATTATCGTAAATAAACTCTCATATTAATTAATAAAAAACCATATTAATCCCATACTTGGCCGTGTTTTTGATAGCTAGAAATAAATCGATTCAATAATGATTTTCTAAGAATTTAAATTAAATTACATTCAATATTATTTTAAATATAGCAACAAAAAAAAAAAACTAAATAAAAAAAATTACACCATAATTACCCTCTTTATTATTTGCGCTTTTCAACATCAAAGTTAAAAATATATATATATATATTTTTAAATAAATCGAATTTTGAATATTAATTAAGAATTGGTTTCCAAAAACCTTTATAACATACTCCGAACTTATCACAATTATTATACGGTATCATTTTAAAATCTCATTGACAAAAAAGTAAACCGGTACTTTTTATGCCAATTTTGAATTGGTATAAACTTATATCACCGATTTTTCAACTTTAAAAGAACAAAAGACTGTTTAAAAAACTTTTGAATTAAATTTAAATATAAAAAACAATTAAAACATTTATGAAAGAAAAACTAACATTTTTAATACTATTTTTATTGTTGTTTTTCAAACAAAAACGAAATTTAAAAAAGTTTAAATTAACCTTTACTTCGATACTTCGGCGTAGTAGCCATGGTTGTAGAATGAGCGTGTTTTAACAGGGTTGCGTTTGTGGCTTATTTAAAAAAATATCACTTAATACTTCATAAACAACAATATTGAATATTCAACTTTAAATTTTTCTTTCTAGCAAAAAAATAAAATTGACTAATCTGAATTAACTTGCTGATAAATGAAAGAAGTATAAACATAATTCATAACCTAAAGATCGACCTAAAATGACTGTGAAAAGTGTCACAAGCACTGTGAATAAACATTTGAAGGCTCCTTCCCAGGTATTATTTAAAAACATTTTTTGTCATGACTAAAGTCATTTATAAGGCTAAATAACATAAGGCTAAATAACATAACAAGCTACCTAATAAATAGTTTTAATAATAGGTTACCAACCAAAATGTACACAAAAGTATTTGCTTGTAATTAGTTAAATTTCATTGTTTACTAACGATCTAAGCATAAAAATATTTATAATAAATATTTACATTAATATTTATAAAGATATATAAAAAGAATAAAAAAGACAAAAAGGAAAAAAACAAAAATATTTTGAACATTTGTTTTGTGTTTTTTTTTTTCCGTTAAACGAAATGATTGGTTCCTTTTTTTTTTTTTTTTTTGTAAATTATTATTTGCGTTTCAAAAATATGGAATTTAAAGTTAAAGAATTGCAAGAAAGCCTCTCACTTCAATTGGCTCAGATTATAGTATAAAGTTTAAAGGCAAATACAACAATCTTAATGCAATGAATCATCTTCATAGTTGGATTGAAAATACTTTTTTTTGCTTTATATTGCTATATTTACGCGTCATTTTCTTGTGTTCAACAGTGATTTTTGGAAATCGTAACATCAAATAGCAGATAAAACTTTGAAAAGTTAAGAGAAGAAAAATTTCTGAGAGAAGAAGAATTTCTAAAATTTTGGCCTGATTATACAATACTAATCTTTTTATGACAATTTTTATTATTTACATAACAAAATAAACACTTCTCTTCCTTCTCTTATCATAATATTTTTATTTGCATTTATCTTTTAACGTTGAATAACAAAACAGTGTCTTATAAAAGGTTTTTATATACTCCGTTTATTCTGACGTTAAAACACGTTTTATTTTTAAACGTGTTTTATATCTTTAATGTATTAAATAATAAAAAATAGTTTCTCTACTACCAATAATGTTAACACGTGTGCGTGTGTGTGTCTATAAATATAATATATATATATATATATATATATATATATATATATATATATATATATATATATATATATATATATATATATATATATATATATATATATATATATATATATACATATATATATATATATATATATATATATATATATATATATATATATATATATATATATATATATATATATATATATATATATATATATATATATATATATATATATATATATATATATATATATATATATATATATATATATATATATACAGTATGGGGCAAAAAATAGTGAACTTTATTTTTTACGCTTTTTTTTATAAAATGGCGCTTTTTATTTGATTAATGAATTCAAATCGATGATTTGGAATTAGTTAATAGTAAATTCAAATTCCTCTTGAAAAATGCTATAATTTATATATGTACAAGTTTCTATAAATCATCAGTCTTCATAAGAAAATTTTATATTTTAAATTTTTGTTTGTTTTAATAAAAGTTAAAATCTTAAGAAACGAACATAATCTGTGTACATTTATATAGATAAAATGTATATAAATGAACATATGTTACGGTTTATGTTCCCCCAACTAACTATTAAAATAAATACTTTTAGAGATGGAAGCTGGTCGAATTCCGATTGCTGCCGAAGCTGCACCAATGGCACCTGAAGTTTTTGTTGTAAAGGAGAAAAAAAGGCGTGTTTTAATTTCTGCTAAGAGAAAGGCATTTTTATGTGGCCTCAAATTAGGTTGAATGCTGTTCAATGAACTTTCAAAGACTCAGCGTGTGCCAATTTCTTCTCTTTATGCCATTTGGAAAAATTTTGCAGCTACTAATAGTACAGAAAAAAATAAAGGCTCTGATCGAAAGCAAAAGACTGATGCACAAGCCGATTGACGTATTATTAATGAAGTCCGAAAAGATCGGTTTATAACTAGATCAGAAATTAGAGCATTATTAAACTTAACTTAATTGACACTCTTGTGTCAATTAAAACCGTTTATCGACGTATTAATGAATTTGGAGAGTTCAAGTCATATTTTGCATGCAAGAAGCAATTCATCAGTCAAACGAACAGGGGTAAGAGAGTAAAATGGGCGAAAGATCATCTTCATTGGACTGTTGGTCAATGGCGTCATATAATATTTTCTGATGAGTCACCATATGTTTTACGATTTGTGAGGAAAAGACTAATTTTAGTTAAAAATCTTATTTATCTAATGAAGAGTGAGATTAGAAAAGTAATCATATAAAAGACGGAGATAAAAATTCAATTT